AGCTAGGATCACAACAGATACTTGAGCTAGGATCACAACCGATACTTGGGCTAGGATCACAACAGATACTTGAGCTTGGATCACGACAGATACTTGGGCTAGGATCACGACAGATACTTGAGCTAGGATCACAACAGATACTTGAGCTAGGATCACGACAGATACTTGGGCTAGGATCACGACAGATACTTGGGCTAGGATCACGACAGATACTTGAGCTAGGATCACAACAGATACTTGGGCTAGGATCACAACAGATACTTGAGCTAGGATCACAACAGATACTTGGGCTAGGATCACAACAGATACTTGGGTTAGGATCACAACAGATACTTGAGCTAGGATCACAACAGATACTTGGGCTAGGATCACGACAGATACTTGAGCTAGGATCACAACCGATACTTGGGCTAGGATCACGACAGATACTTGGGCTCGGACAGCACCCAAGCGCCTCCGCCTGATATTCCCCCCAGCGTGGCCCCGCCTCCGGCCACGCCCTCTTTCCCCGAACTGTCTCAGCCAATCCCGAACATCCCCCCGTGGTTCACTCCTGTAATTACGCCTGGTGACCACCTGGCCACGCACTGTCCCTATCCCCACCATTATCGCCACCCACGCACCGGCTTGCTCGTTCCGCAACTGTCCCTACATTATGTATATATGTGTGGGGAGCGGTACTCTAGCGGTGAGTGTGTTGGGCTACGAAACTCGGGAACCCGGGTTCGATTGTCACTCACAGCCAACACCGGTGACGATTATGTGAACAGGTCCTGGGCCTCCCCTAGGTCGACTCAGCCTCAAATGAGTACCTGGTGTGGTGTATAAACATCGCCACTGGGGAGACAAAGGCGGCCAGGCGTGGTGCTGGCCACCCATCCACCCCCTTGTGTGCTGTTCCGATCTCTTATAGGTGGTCACTAACAGCACTTGCCTCAACAGTCTGTTAAGGCTGTACGGGGTATATTTGTCTTTTGCGCGTGCAAAGATTAATTTATGCTTGGTTACATATATACATTCATCACTTTAACTTTACTAAATCAGTGGGGTGGGAGAGTTAATTTTTTTTATTCCTCAATATTTATTGGAACCGTTGTTATTTCGGTTAAAATAAAAATTAAAAACACCTCAGAATTATTATCTCGCGGAAACACACACACAGCCCAAAATAGGAGGCAGTTTAACAGCCGTCCTCCTCATCGAGGCAGAATATGGCACGGAGAAATTTGGCCGAGTTTGCCTAGAAAGTTGCCAAGCTACACACAGGAGTCATTTGGCCACAGGTCTTGCGCGCCTCAATCAGAGACTCTCGAGCTCAAAATAAACAAACTCCCCACCCCCCCCCTCCCAAAAAAAAATATAGAATTGTTTTTGGAAACGTTTTTTTATATATATAAAAATATAACAATCGGTGTTAATGGCTTTATATGGCAGTTTCATTAGGTCGTGTGACTCACGGTGTTTTAATGAAAAGCCAGCTGTTCACTCTTGGGTGCGGATGATATTTTCCGTCTTCTCTGGATTATGAGACACACATTTTTTCTCACCCTGTATATTAACGCAAAATTAATTTCGGGCTGCGGTCCTATAATCAAGTAGTTTTACGCGTGTATGTCTGCCCACATCTATCTAACGTTATTGACACTGGACGCAAGTTTCATGCGCCTCATACTTCGCGGAGCATCTTATAATCTGGAGAATACGATTGTAGGGGTGTAACGAGTCATAGATTCATTGATGTCTGTTATCCCCCCCAACCCCCCTTGCTTCAACAACTCGCACTGACCAGCCGGCTGTGTGTGTGTGTGTTGAACTTCTTTCGCGCCATACGTAGCCGACCGTGCTAATCGGAGGTGCGGGGGAAGGACAACTAAACACGAAAAGCACTTCTTCTAAAGAAATTCGTTTTAAAACGAGATTTTACAAGTGCTTAGCTCCCAGTGCCTTCCAAATATCGGAAGGAAGAGCATTCCCGGACATCTGAAAGGGCGCGATGCGGCGACCGCCTTTGTTCGATGGCGAGCGCGAAAGCCACCGCCGCTGCGAGGACGACCGCAGTTCGCCTGATGGTGGCTTACGCAGCTTGGTGATGAGATCGGGAGAGGTTCATCCGTGGCAAGCACGAGGTCAGCCGGAAGCCAACGGCTGTCTCGCCCACACGGCACTCGGCGGGCTGCGGCGAGGACGTGCGCGGACGGGGCGCGACGCGGTGGCAGCGAGAGGGGCCGGGGCTTCTGCCAGGCCCCCGTCGTTGCTCCGCCGATTAATTATTGGTAAACGCAGCTGCGAAAGCGTTCACCGAGGTGGTGCGTGGAAAGTGCTGTGATTTTTGCCAAAAATTGTTCTGTGTCGTGGCAAGCCAGCTTTTTTTTTCAAGTGAAATTTTACACGTTGCCTCACCGCTTTGGGAATGTATTCTCACCAGAGCCTACAGTTTGCTCAATGTCACCGACTATTCAATCTTGGCACGGATTTTTTTTTCTTTACAATTCGAAATGAATGCTGAATTACTGTTTTGAGACACTTCATATATATTACAAATTGGGCGTGCTCTGTGTCAATTGTCACCGACAACATGTGGCATATGTACGACGATGATGACAGTGGCAGTGGGTGCTCATAGCCGAGGTGAATGATGATGATGATCAGATTTTTTTAATTAATTTGTCCCCATCACCATTTTCCACCTCCCTCTGCCAAAAATCACGACACTGCGAATGCGCGTCTATATACAGGGCGGTGCGTTTTAGAGATATCACAAGCTGATTAAATGGCACGTGTGTGTGTCGGTGGCTTCGTCGAAATTTTAAGAAAAAAAAAATAAAAACTGTAACCGCGCAAAATAACTTAATTTTGGATAACCGTCGGCAACATCGCCACCTACTGGCAGACTAACATCCACTTTCAAACCGGCGCTGCATTCACCGTGTGTCACACAGGGGACAGCAGCTACTACACGTGTAGTAGCTACTACATATGTACACTACATATGTAGTAGCTACTACACATGTAGCTACTACACGTGTAGTAGCTACGGGCCCCGCACTTTCAAGGGCCCCGCGCTAAACGCTTTCAAGCTATCAATTTCGGTGCAGTGATTCTGCACTTGCTCTATTACTATTGTACTGTACCGCCTTCAACTTTTATGATCTGGCTGTATAGCAAATAAAAAAATACAATTACTTTACTGTGCAAGCAAAAAAAATGCGTGTTTTAATATTTAGGGCCCCTTTATAACATATGCTACTGGCCCCGAACTATCTTAATCCGGCACTGGCTCGCATATATTCGGTACGCTTCTGGACGCAATACAAATGCGAGTTGCTGTTTCGGTCCACACCAGAGTCTGATTTCGAGAGGTTTACTGCACGATCGGTGATTCAGGGGGCACTGGCGAATGCTGATCGCAGTTTCAACGGGGGTTCACATGAACTCATTACAAACAACGTAAACAGTCTATATATATTTTTTAAAAAAGGAGTCTATAATGCTTAAGACTCGATATTAATCAATGAACATATGCATTGTTAGACCCCCTCGTAAGAATGTACGCGTGTGCATGAAGACAAAGATCCTCGTATAGCATTAACAGACTGTTGTGGGCAAGCGCTCTTAGCGAGCGCCTATGAAGGTCGGCACGGCACACGAGACGGTGAGTAGTAGCCAGCACTATGCGCGGCCGCCTTTGTTTCCCCAGTGAGCGATGTTTACACACCGCACCAGGTACTCATTCTGAGGCTGTGTCGACCTCGGGGAGGCCCAGCACCGGTTCAGATAATCGTCACCGATAGTTGGCCGTGAGCGGGAATCGAACGCGGGTCACCGGGATCTTAGCTCACTGTGTTCACGACTACACGACTACTGCACAAACGGCGCACACGCACGCAATCAGCTGGCTAATCTTGACATCAACTTTGAATATATAGTGTAAGATTATCCTTAGCGTTTCTAAGAGGTGGCGGTGGGCGTTATTTGCAATTACGATACTGACAGTGGGGGGGGGAGGTAGGGATGAAGGGTTCAATGAGTACGCCCTGAGTAGTTGTATAGAAGCACATTGGGGTATAATAAGATATACTTGTTCCTTGGCAAACGAGGCCACTTCTATTCATTCAACCAGTAGAGGATGTACTTTAGTTAAAGGTAAAGGTGCAGCATTGCTTGCTTGCTCACGTAACAAACAAACAAAATATTTGACCAGGTAAGGCACACTAAGCTACGTGACATTTTTTTTCAGAAGCGACCTGGCCAAATATGATAGCTCAACGAAATGGTTTATTACGTGGATATATATAGAGCGGCCAAATACTCTAAAAGCATGTTTCTTAATGTGGAGGGAAAAACTGGAGGATCCGAAAATCTACGCGACCACGGGGATAGAGACATGCAAACTTGGGAATGGAACCCACGACCTCCTGGATACCAGGCGAGGTAGTTAACATCTCGCCACCATACGTAGCCAACCATTGTAATAGTAGGTGCGGGGGTAAGGACAACGAACTGAACACAAAAAGCAGTTCTAAAATAAATTAGTTTTCAATCTAGATTTAAAAGTGCATCGCCTCCAGTGTCTTCCTGCCAAAGGAAGGGCCTTCCGCTAGAAGGTATCTAGAAGGTAATTTTGGCCTACTCCTCCACACAGGTGGAAGCACGCACACTACTCCACCACACATGGCCTGCCGATCGACTTAACTGTCGCGTACCCATTCATACTGCCGGGTGGACAGAGGTGGGGCCAATTTAAGAAACTCGCCCCGTTGTTTCGGTGTGCTAACCATTACACTATGTACATACGTACATAACGTCAGCCGCAAGTTGCCTCTCATTTATTTACTGTCGAACTGACCTAGTAGGCGGGCAGTCCTGCGGAGTCTTGCTTTTCCGAGCAGTTCAACTGGAAACCTTGCTTCATCAAGCAATGGTAATACATCCGTGCGTTCGTATTGTTGAGTTTCATTTCCCTACATTGGCAACAAAAATGTGGCTCTTCTTGTCTGCAGGCACGCCGGTGATCTTCGTAGCGCCTTGGGTCGCCATGAAATTCCTGAGAGAAAACAGCGAGTGAGTATGACATAAAATGCTTCGTGTGTTAAAAAAGAAAAAATCCACCCCCCCCCCCCATAGTACAAAAAATCTATTGGCAGAAACTTCTGTTTAATATTTAAGAGAGCTTGCGGCGTGAGCGATGGTTAATTTCGAAGGCGGCGGTAAATTATATTGACTTATTATTTTATTGTTCGTGGAAATCCTTTTCTATTAAAGGCAAGTTAACTTTTGCAGTGCAAGGTTGTATAGTGCATGCTCTCGCGGCTCATTTTATTTGCCGCTTGTATGTCGGGGTACATTTTTTTAAACGGTTATGTTTATAGACTAGTTCATGAAGCTATGTCTTCGCCGGGCAAAAGTTTTCAATAGATATAATAAGTAATCTGGTATGATTTTTTTTTTACAATTTTTATCTATGATCCGACACTAAGTCGTCCAAATTTTTTTTGTATTTTTCCACCAAAAAACTAAAATTGTTGACGGCTTGATTCAACTTCTTATTATTTAAAGAAGTACCCATCGGAAAACCGCTTAATTTAAAGATTCCATTTTTTTTAATAGAACAAAAAATGATTAAGTGAATTCTCTGTGAGTGGAAGCTCGTATTTTTTTTTTACCGTTTTCAAGTTATTCAGATTTGAACATCGTTCAAACCCGCTTGCATCCGAAATATCTCAAAAACAATAGAAGATAGAACAATGGTTTTCACTTTAATTTTACTTGCCATTTAATTATCAAAGGAAAACACAACAATGTTGCATTTTGAATGATTTCTGAACGACACTCACAAACATGTTTATGGGCCACTTAAAAAACGATATTTGGGGGCCTTAAAATGAAAAATCTCGGATTTTCGAATTGTTCCTGATGTTTGTGTCCTAAAAGCTACTTATGTACCAACATTCAGCGTTCTACCTTATCAGGAAGTACCCTAGAGGTTTAAGTGACATACAGATTAAGGCCCATAATACAGGTTTTTTTATTATTAGATCGCGTAAATATAAATGCGTCGTTAAACCCGCCACCACCCGACACAGCCAATTAGTAAGGTTTGTAATATAGACAGAACATGCCAATTCGTTACTAGTGTAGTGGCATCAAATGAGTCACTGGAGCGCGTAACGCTGGGGACCGGTAGAATGGGATTTATGGGGAGCAGCCCGGTCTAACCAGTGGGACACGTGGGCGAGGCCCGGAGCCTTCTGGGGGATCCAGAAGGGGGCGTGGCTGAGGGCAGAGCCTGGCCACGCTGGGGAGGATAAAAGGCGAGCTCCGACTCACAGTCAGGGCTGCTGCCATCTGGAGTGGAACTCGTCCTGCTGCCATTGTCGTGGTCTTCGCCTCTTCAAGCTGTGGGTCTGGCAGCATGTTGCCTGTCCTGACCCGGTGTGTGGTTATCCCCCTATGGCTGTGAAGGTCGGAATAAACAAGAGAGAGTGCCTCCTACTAGTGTCTCTGAATTAGTACACTACACTAGTACGGCACACCGGCGCGTTAGAGAGCAAATGCACAACATTTACAATCTGAGTACGACGTTTAAACTGACAGATTAAGGTATTTTATTATATCGATAATTTACGTACAGTATATATCTTGTGGAACACAATACGGTGATGCAATTCACCAGATGCATTTTTTTTGGGGCTTACAAAGTGTCCCACCACGTCAAACGAGTGAATTTTGAGACGGTTCGCCACTGCGTGAAGTTATTACGCCCTGGCCGCGATAATAAAAAAAATAATCTCTAAATGGTCACGATTGTGACACCGTTAAGTGGCGGGTGCCCAACGAATACATCCCGGCAAATAAAATCACGACAATTACATTCGTGCAAAAGATAATCTCTATATAAATATAAAAATTGACACATTTGTGTCAACGAAGAATGATGGATTTTTGTTTCTACCAAATATAAATAATGCTGCACTCAGTTTCTTTCTTCCAAGGTGTTTCAACGCAATGGATTGTGTGAAACGTGTGAAAGTGCCGTGTGCGCTCGTTGCGTTGTTTCAGTGCATTTGTGAAGAGGGCAAAATCGAGCATTTTGAAATAAAATCTCTCAAAGTCATCATCATCATCATCTCACGTGGCTTCTATCCTTTCACTGCCATTCCATCACCAGTCCTATCCTTCGGCCATGAGTCCTGCGCAAGCTCACTTAGTTTTCTTGAAAGTCGACACGATGCCTCTGTACAACTTGAGTGCCTCCTCTTTCTGTCTCTCAGTGTCATTCACGACACACAGCTCTCAATGCTAATTTGAGTCCGGTACATTTCGGCGATTGTTACCACCTTCTTCGTCAATGTCCATGTCACCCATCCGCGTGTTACAGCAGGTGGTATAGCACAGTATATTCACGATTCACTAATAGCAGTGTACCATCGCCTTATATTGGGGAATGTTCCGTGGAAGAAGATATCATAGAACTGATTCTGAAAGCTTTGACCTCTTATCCATGCCTATGGGGATAGCGCCTTCCAACTGCCCTGCAATATATACATTACAAGAAAATTATATATTCAGATCTGAAATTGAACCGAATAAAGAACATGACCAAGCTTCAAGTTTATTTTGTTTTACCAGATGAGAACTCAACAGTATCGTGTCACGTGCAAGAGTCACCTGGGACATAAGTGGGAAGTGGAGGTGGTGTGTGTCACCCAATGAGTGAGTGACAAAGGATGAACTACGGCAATATATCTGCCACCCGTGCGATTTCACGTTGGTTAACGCTGCCTGCGTGCTGGTTGTCTGTGCTGTGCAGGTGTTGGAGCCAGAACAACAATTTGAGTTACTGGTGGATCATACGTTCCGCCATTCTCTTGGCCAACGTGGTAAGCATCAGGGTAGACTTGATTGAGGTCTTCTATCAGAAATTTACGCATGTTAAACGAGTGGTTTCAGGTCATGAGAACATTTAAATTAACTCGGAGCTTAATATAATGCTGCCCAGAGAATGCCATCATCCAATTCACCGCGTTAACACTTCCCTGCATACTATGAACACTTGAATAATTTCCGTGATGAGACGCATCGAAAATTAACCCCACTAAACTCGATATATTTTAACGTCGCAGATGTTTTTAATTTTTGCTGATTTACATTTGACGTCATTCTGATGGTTAAAGTGAATTATAAAGGGAACGCTAAACTTCACGATATCAAACTGATGTTTAGTCTTTGGTTTGAATCTTTGATTCTCAACTTTGTAGCTTTAAAATTCGACAATCCATCGCATGCGTGGTGTGTAAGTTTTTATGGAGCATAGAAGTGTGCCTGGCATAAATGTGTTTCTGGCGAGATGAGATTTCTGATATTTTAAAATCATTGTGCCGAGAATTAATTTTCTCGATTAACTTTTCTCCACTGTACTTGTTGATTTTACCAGATGAGGGTCACTGCTTGTCTGCGAAGGGATTATCGCATGAACAATTCAACTTTTCCTCATTATAAAGGTCACTGTGTATCCGCAGGATTAAAGGAAATGTGATCAGGAACAGCTAAAGGCAAATGTACAGCATATTGTAGATGTTTCTTTCAGTACCTGGTGTGTGCTGCCACGGTCTGACGGTCAGCGCTACTTGACCAGCAATGCTAGAGGTCACCGGTTCAACTCCATCTCCCGGTGCGATGGTTGAAATAGATGGGGGCAAGATTATTAAATCAACCTCACCGGCAAGCCACCCTGCAGTACCCAATGGTTATACCACAGTGTGTCAGTCGGCAGGTCGTGTGTGGTGGGGCAGAGTCTGGGTAACTGGCACTTCTTCCAGGACGTTTGGTCAGTACAGAAGAGTCGGGGGGCCTCTCTCTACAGCTCGCTGTAGTGGTGGCTCCTTCCGGCAGCAGGGGACCGTGAGCAGGCAATTGCAGGGCTGCACCTTGACCCTTGTTTGTTGTCTAACAGGAGATTTTGTTTCGTTATTTCAGATAAACTTTGTGATTTTCATAAGAATTCTCAAGATTCTCATCTCTAAGCTGAGGGCGCATCAGATGGGGTACACAGACTACACATTTCGGTGTGTGTGAATGTTAAATGCTGCGCGCGCACACACGTACACAGTGCGTACATTATTTGGCAACCCAACTCAAATTCAAGATTTAATAAATGACGCTCGGTTCTAGATTCATTTTTTTAAAATCACCGCTTCAATCGCTCGTCAAATATATGAACTTGAAACAAAGATTGAGCGTCGTCTTTTGAAATATAATTACCCTTCACGTGAAGCAGTGAACCTTTGTGTCCTGCTGCTGTTAGTGTCCCAAGAAATGGAGATCACATGGCTCGGGTTCAGAAATTGAATACTGTGCCAGTAACAATTCACCCTCTATCCCGATGCGATGAATTTCAAGATTCAGATTTGCGATTTTACTCAATCATCGATTATTATTTTAATGATAATATCTTTCTAACGCGATGACTGCAGGAGTCACATGAGCCAAAATACAGCTGTAACATTTATTCGATAATGTAAAAAAATAATCTATAAATCGATTCGAAGTTATAATGGATTAGATTTTCTGAGGTCGATTTCTCAGGGCCACTTTTTTAAAAAAAACATTGCAGCAGCCCCTACAAAGGCACGCCTAGTGTGACGTGCCTAGTGATGCGATGACATCACCAAGCCCCACCCATTACCTCCCGTCCAGCAACACACACAGAAACAGAAGTGAAACTTTTTTTTTCCCCTGGGTCCTCTGGGTTTTCCCCTCCACGTTCAGCAACACGCGTTTAGAATATTTGGCTGCTGTACAATTCCCATCGGTGAGCCACTTCGCAGAGTTCTCATTTGTGGCCAGGTCGCTTCTACAAAAAGAGCTGTACAGCTCAGTGGGCCTTACCTGGTCAAATATATATTTTAAAGTTTAGTTGAAGTGGATCTCTTCCGCCCGCAGTGGCAAGAGCAAGCAACTGCAGGGCTGTGCCTTTACCTTCGAATAATCGATGAAACCTAACGCATCGTAACATCGTCTTCACACGCCCCTTGGTGCCCCGTGCCCTGCGTTGAGGTTGGCCAAGTCGACGCTCACCCTCATCCCGCTGCTGGGCATTCACGAAGTGGTGGTGGCGCTCATCACCGACGAGCAGGCGCTGGGAGCTCTGCGGATCCTGCGGCTCTTTTACCTGCTCTTCCTCAACTCCTTCCAGGTGAACGCCGACTCGCACGGGAGCTGCGGCCGGACACGCTGGCAAATTGGCACCTGGAACAAGCTGCAATCCTTGCACACTCTCCCCCCCCCCCCCACCGCCTTGTGCAAATCCACGGGGCAATCGCGCAAGCCGCTTGGGAGATTAGTTCTCGGAAAGGAGTGATATTTGTTATATAAAATTGGGGGTGAGTGCCTTGAACTACCCCCCCCATAGTGCCGCCCCTCCCACCACCCCCCCCCCCCGCCCCCCCACCGGCAAATCCACAAACGGTCCACCAGAGCCACCCGGCCACGATGACTCCGAAACGACCGACGCCGTGCGCTTCGTGGCGCCGCGATAATCTCGCGCGGGGGGGGGGGGTTGGGTGGGAGAGTTGGGGTGGGGGGGGGGGCACGACCGCATCGCGCGCGCCACTGAGACACGCCGCCAGAGGTCAACTCGTTAACCGGAGCAACAGCATTGGGGCCGCCGCCGCCGCCGCCGCGGTACAACAACAACAAGAACAACAAAAAAACAGCGAGACAATTTCCTCCGCCGGGCGACCTTCCCGCAGGAGTGCCCACCGAGGCGGCGGTGGTCTCAATTTTACGCCCCCCTTCGAGGTGAAACATTCGCCGATGGCTCGAGCGGCGGAGAGTTTTTTTTCCTCGCCGGAATGAGAATGCTCACGGCGACCCTCGACGAGCCGAGTTCATTTCCCGGCCCGGAGTGCATTACCGGCGTTCAATCGGCTCCTTGGGCGGCGGTGGGTGCAGACGGCCGGATTTTCGTTTCCCCGCACAAGGGGTGATGCGTCTGTTTGCGAGTGATGGCCCAGTTTGTCTTAAAAGATGCCCGCATCTTCCCTTCACACCCCTGCAGTGGACTGACAGCAGCGGGGGTGGGCCGTTGCTAATTGCCTGGCCATAACAGTTGATCGCTAAGAGCATGCGCACTAGCAGCTTAAAAGGAGGGTGACGTTGGTAATTGCTCGCGTGTTTGTCCCCGCGTTGTGCACCGCAAAAATTCATTGCCATTCCACCCAGCGCTGCGGTGGGTCGGCTTGACATCAACCGGCACTCCGATTCCAGCACCCATTTCCCCGTATGTGTCCTCACCGAGAAACAATAAGCAACCTCGTAGATGATGATAATAATGATACTACACACAAAGGACTCTGCGACTTGAATAACACAGTGATGTTTTTTTGTTCTTCATTTTTTTGCGGGCCCGTAGGGTCTACTCGTGGCCATTCTTTACTGCTTCGTCACAAGAGAGGTACATGTCGATGGCCTTGCGCTGGTACTCGCTGGTTTGGGCGATGGATATGTGTGCGGTGTCTATTGTTGGTACTTACTGGTAAGGGTGATCAAAATATGGAGTCTCGTGTTTCATATTCTTGGTTCTTTCGGTCAAGTCGCGTTGAAGGGAAACAATAAAATAATAAAAAAAATATCTAAAACAATAAAATTCTCACGACGTTTTGACTGCAACACAAGCAGTCATCATCAACACAAACAGTCATCACCTGATGATGACTGCTTGTGTTGCAGTCGAAACGTCGTGAGAATGTTATTGTTTTATATATATTTTTTATTATTCTATTGTTTCCCTTCAACGTGACTTGACCGAAAGAACCAAGTATATGAATCTCTGCAGTCACGAAAGCTTTACATCAAAATTTGAGTCTCGTGTTGTTACTGTGCTTGTACGAGTAAAGGATGTGTGGGTTCTACTGCTCGTGTTGGGGCTAGGGTTGTTTGCGATATGATTCTACGATACACTGTGCAATATAATATCAACAATAATGATAGAGTCTGTTTTGCGAATTATCGTTATGTCGTGATTATTGCTGCTCATTACATTTTCCTGGGTATTTTATTCCCTGACATATAATTATCCAAAGCAATTGACAACGTGGTGATTCTACGAATCGGTCAGTTTATGTCATTTGTGTAATTACGTTATTTTTGGTTTAACACGCGGGTAGGCTTTCGCGACCAATATAATCATTAATACATGTTTGTTGTGTAAGATCATGTAAAAAATTGGCATGTTCTGTTTACGTGACGAACCTTACTAATAGGCTGTGTCGAGTGGTGGCGGGTTTAACGACACATTCATATACTTACGCGATGTAACCCGCCCCAAAAAACAAAACCTGTATTACGTACGATATTTTTGCTTGCTGTGACCGAGAGAATGCACATTGTACAAAATAATCTTCGTCGTTGTGGAGAACATAAATAAAATAGGCAGCCAATGCATTTCATTCAAATCCCCGTCCCTTCACGTAAAGCGAAAAAATTGTTGTACACTTTTTGGCGTCTTCTGGTCCAACACCAATGGAGACTGGGCTCTAAGAAAAGCCGTCTCGGGTGTGGACCAATCAAATTCAAGGACAGTGCATATTATTATCAGAGTTGTCATTTTTGTTTGCATTTTGACTGCTTGTGTTGTGGTTATTGCAAACATGATGCCTTGTATAAAGGTGTCAGTTTTTGTGCCAGTTAAAAGGGTAAAACCTATTCCTCGAAAAAATTGTGTTTTTTTTTCTCTCACAAATCCCATTGGCCAACACAGCCTCCTGCAGCATTTCAGCAGCGTTGGTTCGACGCAAGCAAAACCTCCGTACCGGCTCCGACATTCACTGTCTCGTTATAAGTGTGTATATCGTGTGCTTGTACGCGGTACTGTTTATCATGAAATACGATATTGTGGCAAGCATATGTTGGGCCTCAGTGATGAGCCAATTCACCAGTGGTCCGGTGGAGACTAAGGAATGGCGTGCTCCGAGATTATCGATCAATGTTGCTTGGAGCATTAGTGCAGCGGTCCACGCACTGCGCTACGGACCTGGTGACCTGTGTTAGGATCGCCATCCATGGCCAACCATCGATGGCGAGTGGCATCTGAACCGATCCTGGGACTCCCCCTGCCCCGTCAACAAACACGTTGACTTAGAGGGGTCAAACGTGGTCAAACCCCACCCCCCACCCCCCCTCCACCATGACTTTCATCCAGCTGTGGATCCGCAGATTCGGATTTTTTTCTTTTCCTCTGCCATTCCTCCTCTGTGGATACCAATAACGCCTCCACGATGTGTTTATTTTTTCTGGCTGTACTGTGTGCCGAACGGCCACGCGGTACAACGCGAAAACGCCTTGGGAAAGCTGCGACAACGCAAACGCGACAAACCTTCGCGGAGTAAAAAAAATAAAACCTACAATTTCTATTCGCCTACTCTTTGGTTTTTTCGGTAAAGTCACGTAGGTAAAAAAATAAATAAAATAAAATAAATGAAAACAACTAAATGAAAACTATTGAGCTGTTTCCATTTTTTTTATTTTTACCTACGTGACTTTACCGAAAAAACCAAGGAGTATGGATCCTTGCAGTCACGAAAGCTTCAAATCTGTCTGGGGGAACAATTGAAAAAAAGCGTCTAAAAGGGAGCAATTGAAAAAAGTGATGCCCTGAGAATTTCACTTTCATGACACTTGGATGTCTCTGCCTTCGAGCACAGAGAGAGGGCAGAGCATTTACTGTGGTTGGATATTTATAGGACACCGGAGATAAGTTTTGTACGATTCAAGTCGTCTGCATCTAAACTTAAACTAAAAACCAAATTATTTTTTATTTTACCAGGTAAGGTCCACTGAGCTATATAGCTCTTTTTCAGAAGCGACCTGACCACAAATGATAGCTTAACAAAGTAGCTTATCATGTGGAAATTTATGGCAACCAAATTTTCTAAACGCAATGTTGATTCGAAATGTAGAGGGGAAAACCGGAGGACCTGGAGAAAAATCCACGCAACCACGAAGAGAGAGAGACACGCAGACTCCAAATATGCAGCAGGCGTCAAGGTCGGGATTGAACCCGCGACCTCCTGTACACCAGGCGAGACAGTTAACATCTCCTAGCCACCGTGATGATGATGATGAGAGAGAGAGACACGCAGACTCCAAATATGCAGCAGGCGTCAGGGTCGGGATTGAACCCGCGACCTGCTGTACACCAGGCGAGACAGTTAACATCTCGCCACCGCGGCGTCTTTGCAGGTTCAGGCCGAAGTCCGAAAGCGCTGGCACCGGTGGAGGCTGGGCCAGGACCTGCAAGGGCGCCACATGTACATCAGTGTCACGCGCCTGCGCACCTCCATCGGCCGCGCGGGCAACGGCGACGCCGGCGCGAAGAGAGACGACGGCTCGGCACCCTTCGGTGCGGTGCCGGAGGCGGCGGTGGCGTTCCGCAGCACGGATCGTGAGGAGTCCGCGAGGCCACGCGACGCCCCCTTCCCCAGAAGCGACTGGGTGCCACGGGGACGACTTGGCGGACATCTGAGCAGGGATGAATCGGGGAGTGGGACGGCGGCGACGTCAGGGGCAGCAGCGGCTGGAGGTGGATTTTTGCCTCTGAGGCAGGCGGCCTGTGGCCGCGCTTTCCTCGACGAGCGGAAGACGGAGAGCGATTCCGGGGGGACTTTCACTGACAGCGACATCGCACCGGCGCTGGTGACGGAAACGCGGCCGTAGTGACCCCTTTGTCTCGAGGTTCACGTTGACCGTCGATTCAAGAAACGTATTCACGCGGATATATTCAAATTACTTCACTTCAAGAGCACCGTTTGGATGCCGGAACCTTTGGCGTTCTGGGCCCTCTGGGCCCTGTGCTCAGCAGCGGTGATTTAAAACAAACATATTTTTATCGCCGTGATTATTAAGTTACAAAGGGGGTATCCTTAAAAATGTTGACTTGAAAGGGTACTCAAGATTTTAAGCGGCGATATTCGCAAGAAGTGACGGACACCACCGTTTTTATTTTTATAAGGCAAACGAAGACGACGAAATAAAGAAAGCCTCAACTTCTGCCGCTACATCAAAGTGGTCTCCGGTCACCTGAACGAGAGCTATGAATATTTATTGTGAAACCTCCCGCGACACGGACGCTCATAGAACTGGTCGGGTTTATATACTGAGAGAGAGAGAGCACTCTATAGAGAACTCCAGAGCTTTGAAACAACAGCAACCAGTGGAAACTGATCTTAACAGAACAATGTACAGGGACTCCTCTGCTTACAAACATTCGACTTACGAACTTTCAGAGATACGGAAAAACCTGTCCGTATGTCCAGTAGGGCTGAACGATTAATTGATTTCAAATCAAAATCGAAATTTTAAACAATGCGATGAGCAAATCGCAAAGGCTGCGATTTTTTTGCGTTTTGAAAAGTCCTATTACGTTCTTATTGGAATTGGTTTATTTTTTATTATTATAACTTTATTTATTTAACTTAACAATTGTTCTATGTTTGATTGTTCTATTTCAATTAAAACATTGTAATGGATACATGTTGGAAGCAATTCCGATATTTTAAGTTCTCATCCTTGCATTAGAATATATAGAGCAGTTCATATTTTGATGGTATCACGTGATAATGCTCCATCACATGTTTTAAATCTATTACACAGTGAATATTGAACTGAAGCTTGACTTTAAAAAATGTAATCGCGAATCAAATTGCAATATCTGTCAGAAAAAAATCTATTAGATATTTTCCCCAAATCGTTCAGCCCTAATGTCCAGTTGCCTGTTTGGACTGAGAGTCGTAAGTTCAACCACGGAGCGATAAATGGCGGTGGTTGTTCGGTGTTATTACCCAGCATTCCCAGCATGTGTGCCTGGACCGCCGCCAGTGTATGTTGTTGTGTTGTCACTGTGCGGTTAACTATGACGTTTTCTGTGATTTTCACGAACACGATGCTATTGCCTGTTACAAGTTGATTTATGAAGAGAAGAAGAGAGCAACTGTGCAGACATCTCTTGGTCAGTTTATCAAGAGAGTAGAGAGGAAACACGAGCACCAAATGGAATTGGCATCTACATCTGTAGAACGTGAAGATCCAGCGGCATCTACATCTGTAGAACGTGAAGATCCAGCGGCATCTACATCTGTAGAACGTGAAGAACCAGCGGCATCTACATCTGTAGAACGTGAAGAACCAGCGGCATCTACATCTGTAGAACGTGAAGAACAAGCGGCATCTACATCTGTAGAACGTGAAGAACCAGCGGCATCCACATCTGCAGGACGCGAAGAACCAGCGCCAGCGGCATCTACATCTGCAGAACGTGAATAACCAGTGACATCTACATCTGCAGATCGTGAAGAACCAGCGGCATCTACATCTGTAGAACATGAAGAACCAGTGGCATCTACGTCGCCAGGAGATTATACTACTTTTAAAGCCATTCCCCATGTTTAGTGTACATGCCGTACAACATGTTTGTAAATCGACAGGAGTAAAGTTGGACTTATGAACAAATCGACTTACGAACAGACTTCTGGAACCTAATTCGTACGTAAGTAGAGTGCCTGTAAATAGCTTTTACCGTATCCTCCAGATCACAAGACGACCTGGAAAGTTAGACGCACATCCTAAACATGTGCACGATGTCAGTAGTTCCACAAATCGGGTGTCACACACATACATAGATGCCTACCGGATTCATTATCAGATGCACAAGCAACTTTTGCTTTAAAATACGTTGGGGGGGGGGGGGGGGCGGTGGAATAAGTGCATCTTATAAGACGGTATAATTGTTTTTGTATTTAGCTGCTAGAGGACTGAGTGAATAGGTTTGTTTGTGATTGTGACCGACACAGCTTGCCTCAGTGCGTCGGTGGGCAGCACCTCCTGCGTTGTTGTGTTGCCGGAGCACGTTGTTGTGTTGCCGGTGCACGTTGTTGTGTTACCAGAGCACGTTGTTGTGTTACCGGTGCACGTTGTTGTGTTGTGTTGCACGTTGTTGTGTTACTGGTGCACGTTGTTGTGTTACCGGAGCACGTTGTTGTGTTACCGGAGCACGTTGTGTTACTGGTGCACGTTGTGTTACCGGTGCACGTTGTTGTGTTACCGGAGCACGTTGTTGTGTTGCACGTTGTTGTGTTGTGGTGCACGTTGTTGTGTTACTGGTGCACGTTGTTGTGTTACTGGTGCACGTTGTTGTGTTGTGGTGCACGTTGTTGTGTTACCGGTGCACGTTGTTGTGTTACCGGTGCACGTTGTTGTGTTACCGGTGCACGTTGTTGTGTTGTGGTGCACGTTGTTGTGTTGTGGTGCACGTTGTTGTGTTACTGGTGCACGTTGTTGTGTTGTGGTGCACGTTGTTGTGTTACCGGTGCACGTTGTTGTGTTACCGGTGCACATTGTTGTGTTGTGGTGCACGTTGTTGTGTTGTGGTGCACGATGTTGTGTTACCGGAGCACGTTGTTGTGTTGTGGTGCACGTTGTTGTGTTACTGGTGCACGTTGTTGTGTTGCACGTTGTTGTGTTACCGGTGCACGTTGTTGTGTTGCACGTTGTTGTGTTGCACGTTGTTGTGGTGCACGTTGTTGTGGTGCACGTTGTTGTGTTACCGGTGCACGTTGTTGTGTTACCGGAGCACGTTGTGTTACCGGAGCACGTTGTTGTGTTACCGGAGCACGTTGTTGTGTTGTGGTGCACGTTGTTGTGTTGTGGTGCACGTTGTTGTGGTGCACGTTGTTGTGTTACCGGTGCACGTTGTTGTGTTACCGGTGCACGTTGTTGTGTTGCACGTTGTTGTGTTACCGGTGCACGTTGTTGTGTTACCAGTGCACGTTGTTGTGTTGCACGTTGTTGTGGTGCACGTTGTTGTGTTGTGGTGCACGTTGTTGTGGTGCACGTTGTTGTGTTACCGGTGCACACGTTGTTGTGTTGCACGTTGTTGTGGTGCATGTTGTTGTGGTGCACGTTGTTGTGTTACCGGAGCACGTTGTTGTGTTACCGGAGCACGTTGTTGTGTTACCGGAGCACGTTGTTGTGTTGTGGTGCACGTTGTTGTGTTACCGGTGCACGTTGTTGTGTTACCGGTGCATATTATTTATTTTTTCTAAGTGTATTCGTGTAATGTGCCGTGTAAGTTTGGTCATTATAATATTGGAAGGCATTCATGATATCCGGATTTAAAAAAAAAGACCAGGCCTGCACTGGGATCATTGCCGGTTTAGCAATGAACTATTGTATTTTATATCAATGTGGAGGTCTGTACACCGGTGTTACGCGAGGCTTTGGCATGCCACTATAAGATGCCATGGCACACTCTCCGATCCATATTTTGTATCCACTTCCTCGGGTTGCCGCGACAGCATTTCCACGATAAGGTATTAAATTTGACGTTCATCACGATGTAAGTTTGCTGTGACGTTTTTATCTCACGTTATTTACGTCATAATTAAGTGGTTCAATGTTACTCCAAGGGCGACTCGAGAGTTATTAAAAAAAGTAATTCAACTGCATTTCACCCAACATAAGCCTGCCATAAGTCTTTAAATCATCTAAACTTTTACAATTTATAACGCATATAACGCACACGAAAGCCAAACAACGATGTTATGTAAGCACCGTTCATTTAATGGTTTAAGCCAATTTCTCTTTTTAATAACTATTACCATCGTAAATGTAAATTATTGTTATTCCATCTTCAGATAAGACACAATTCTTGAATGAAGATGATCAGCGGTAATAACGGACGATCCGATCGATGGCCGTGGTTCTTTGTATCGTTTTGTGATTCGTCATTGGCGTCATCGCTCCGTCCCAGAGGAACTCCACGCAGGCAGGGAGACGGGAGTCAAGCATCGACGTCTCCAGCTCCGAAGCAGTCGAAGTTTACGGCGAGGTCAACCTCGTTTATTTCGAGCTGGGGACGCCTTTCGACGATTCACAAAGACTCTTTTTTTTGCAGGAGGAGGAGGAGGGTCCTGCGTTAGATTGTTTGGCCAGTTCCTTTTTTTGACGGAGTGTTTTTGCATGCATGCATGTATGTATATCTTTGTATGGATATGTACGTTGAACTTGTTTCGCACCGTGCGTAGCCAGCCCGTGCTAATCGGAGGTGCGGGAGAAAACCTCCGGAGGAAATCCCCCCGGAGAAAACCCAAACATAACGAGGGGACACCACTTGCATTTAGAGCAGGAGTGGGGAACGTCCGGCCCGCGGGCCGTATGAGGCCCGCGAAATCATTTGGTCTCTGGCCCTGCCAAGGCAACCGCAGGCGAAACTCGAAATTCAATAAATCTAGGAGAGCAAAACCTGGAAAAGCAGTTGCGAGTAGCAACATCGTCATTACCAGCTCACATCATCACACGCCTCGCCAAAGAAAAGCAGTTCCAGCCATCGCATTACGGGTGAGTTAATGAAATGTTTGACCAAATATAACAGGCTAATTCTTAAGTTGATAATTTTGTATGGCCCGCGAATGATGTTATAAATATCCAAATGTCCCTTGGCAGAAAAAAAGGTTCCCCATCCCTGATTTAGAGGGTCGCCACGGTCGCGCAATGTTAACTACCTCGCCTGGTATGAAGGAGGTCGTGGGTTTTACTCTCCAACACACCGGTGTGCTGAACTAAGTAAAGAATTGGCGTGTTTTGTTTACGTGACAAACCTTACTAATTGACAAAGACCATGGATTTGTGCGGCGTCTAAATGTGACCGCATCTCCAAGACGCTCGTCGAGAAAAGGCAACGCAAACGCACACACATCTTGCCACTGTGGGAACAAACACAAAAAAAAATCTAAATATAATTAAGAGTAACTCACCCCCCCACCCACCACGCTGTTAAAATATCGAAGCGATGACAGGCCCCGGGAGGTCAGGCAAGGGACCTCGAAGGGAGCGCTGGGATCAGGGCCAGCAACAGAGGGAACATAAAACAATGAACAGAACGAAAGACGTGAATAAAAAAAATCATCATATATATACACACACGTATATTAATGGAGGGAAGAAGAAAGAGTAATGTTTTTGGAATTGGGTATCGGAAACACTTGAGCGGGGTTTAACTCACCGCCTCAACCAAAGCGGAGGTGGGGGAGTGGGAGGAGGCTCAGTTAAGGGCGCAGCCCTGAAACTCCTTCCTCACGCCACTGCTGATGGATGGGCCTCCACTATTTTGGCCTACTCTTCCACTGCGGCTCGACATCTTTTGAGGGAGGCGGCAGCTGCTCACACATTACTCCACTGCGCACGGCCTGCCGAACGTCGCTGTACCGCAAGACACATTTCATCCGTGGAATGACAAAACTGTGGACATGTAACAGAATTGTACGCGGCAGGTAGCAGGGTGTATATTCTACATTTCCTCCGTTGGCAGGTAGTAATGGGAACGGCTGAACTAAGTTCAGTACAATTGACATGGGGGGGGGGGGGGGGGTGGTGGTGGGGGGGTGCTATTTTCATCCCGAGTGACAAACAACCCAGGGC